CGTCCCCTTGCATGCTTCTTCGGCAAAATCGACATGCCTTGCCGGTACGCGCAACACTTGCATGGCATCAAGCCAGAAGAGTAGTGAGTACATGTATACCGGATACAATCAAGAATGAAGATGAAGGAGAGCTCCGATTCTTGAAGCACGTGAGGCGAGTTCAAGGATGGAAGCTGGATTTGAGCAAAGGCTATATGAATCAAATCTTGATTCATAATCGTGAATCTTGAATCTTTAATGGACATGACGCCTCGCTGCATCACGTGAATGCTATGCACAGACCGCGTGTTGCGCGCTGCGCGCGCACAGATCAGTCTTGAGTCTTGAAGCCAAGTAGACGAGGTTGAATCCCGATTCAAAGTCACTCACGACGTTGCGCGGCTCGCGATTTCCAGCGCGAGGTTGCATAGCGCGAGCGCGAGCATGCGCTGATCGTGAGGAAGCCAAGTGGAACGACCGCCGTACACGGATCCCATTCGTGATTCTTAGCTGCTTGCGACCCCATCTTCACCCTCTCGAGATCGTGATTGCACATGACGTCTTGTTATCCTAGCCAGCGAGCTTCTGTAGAGGTGATCGTCGGAGCCTGTCCCGCAGACCATCCTCTGAGCAAGGCCCTCCAATCGGTAGCCTCACAAGGAAAGCGTTCATTGCCCTACCTTGCGAGCCTTTCGCCAAACTCGCATCCTTGCTACCACTTTTCTTAGTACGGCTCGAGTTGCGCTATGAAAGGCGCCCTGTCTGGCATCTCGGTCAACCCGAGTGCAGTGGCCATCACGTTGCTCACGCTATCCGTAGCGCTGTGGCTGCCCAACTCGCTGGTCCTCCCATTCAGACCAACCGGACCCATCTTTTCACGACCGCCAGATGTCTTACCGGCTCTTCTGGCACCGGTCGTTCCACCGGAAGGCTTCTTTGCTTCGCTAGCCAGAATATTGCAAATCGCCGTGCTTGCCATCTCCATCGCGCCCAGGAATCCCGTCCTTCTCACTATGGGTGGTATTTGGACCGTATGGTGCTTGACAGCGGCTATGAGGTGTCTGCTGGGATTCCTGCTTGGGAGAGCCGTGGGATGGGCGGCGCCTTCCTTCTTCAATCATCTAGCGGTGTACGAGACGAGCACGGGAATTGGCCCTGTACTGGTCGCCATCGACGCGGCCACCGTTCTGCTGCAGCGCTTGCCTTCCGATGTCTCGCCCATACCAAGCGCATCTTCAGTCCCTCCGGCATCTTCCAGACCATCCATTGCTATCCACACGCTCATCGGAGTCATTTCTTGCATACTGGATGGCGCCCCCTGGACGTATGCAAGCGGTGCCGCAGTAGGATTCTTTGTTGCTATAGCATACGTTGTAGCAGAAAGCGTCACGGGAGGACCAATTTACAGGCCGTCGGGTGAGGGACCGGTTCCCCTGCACCTGCTAGAGGACGAAGAGGAAGAAGGCAACAGCTCGACAGCCGCAAATGGGAGTGGTCGTCGAGGCAACCTGTACGGTGCCGGGGGTCATTATGGCAGCGACAGCGTCCCGCCAAGCCGAGTTGCGCTCGTTCAAGCAGCTTTCTGGAGAGGCGCAGCGCATGTGCTCGTATCCTTACTCCTCGTCATCGTGGCAACCAAGACCTCTGGCTGGTTGCCAAATCTCTCTCAGCTAGGGTCGCCTCCACCGAGTGCCAGACCGCTGCTGGACATCGTCTTGCTCACCAGTCCACGTCCCCGTGACGAGAAGGGAATCGCACCTATGTTAATCAATACCACCGACTCGTTCTTTGGTGCAATTTCACCCGCAGCAAGTCCGCTGATCGCACCTCGGGTATCAGTCTTTACGCACTTCAGCTCGAAAGAACACCCAGCATTCGACGTAGCCAAAGCCCACTTTGACGCGCACCCGAGACCCGAGCTTGGAGAGCGCGCTTCAAAAGTGGTGTTTTATAGAGATAGCGACTCGCACGCAGATGTCAGGTTGGGCCATCATTTGCATTTGGCCGAGCTTCTGAGATGGTCATGGGAAAGGGAAGGCTCATCAGAATGGGTCTTGGTTGCCGAAGACGATTTCCCAGTGAGTGCCACACGTGTGCGATCCTCCTTGTGCGCAGATCGAGCGGCTTATTCTTGACCTCTCTATGATCCAGGTATGCGGAGATTGGGGCTGGAGAGGGATAGAAGGGGTCATTGCAGAGCTCGAGCTTCAGCGTCGGCCTTGGGTCGATCTGCGAGCATCAGGCGCTGCTGAAGGAGTTTCGCACGCAGGCCCCCCTCTCGCCGGCTGGGTGGGTGCAGGCGGCTCAGGGCTCATCCTGCATCGAAGTTTGATGCCAATTGCCGAGCGCTTGCTGCGCCTCTATGCCACTTCGGACGGAAGGAGACCTTTGGCACCTCTGCCGGCTGATCTTGTCGTGCAACAGTGCATGTCTGGAGAGATCAGTCTTTGTGGCAAAGACAGAGGAATGATCATTAGCAGCAGAATGCTCATGGGTCATGTGGGAAGTGGAAATTCTGCTTTGGGCCACAATACTCCGGGATCGAGATGGCGTTGTCGCTGGCGGTGAGTGGAAAAGTCGCGATGCGTGGGAAACTGACCTTGCTGCAAATTTTTGATCCTCGCTGCTCATCTCTTAGGCACCCATCGCACGGCCTGCCCTACGTTAAAATGGTGTTGGACGTGTAGAGGCCGTATAGAATCAATCCTCTAGACATGATGTATACGAGAGCTTGAGAGCAGGCGGTGAGAAAATGATTGATTGCGCCGTGACCACAAAGCACCTCACGTAGGTGTCTCGGTGGAGGAGCCAAAAAGCCGAGCGCTATGTAGTGCTACTACATCCTTGGCACCGAAGAGTCTTGACTCACGACGTTCCGTGCACCGCGCTTCCTCGGAGTTGGTGACTGCGGGTGTCGCAATTCCGTTGCACACCCTCATGAGCACTACTCGAGTGTGACTGCTACACGAGCACGCATCAAGCCTGATGCTTGCGCATTGTATGTCAGACCTACTCATCGCTACGCTCAAACTTGACCTCGCTGTCTTCTTGATAAACCTTTCCGATGATTCAAAACTAGCGCCGATCGCGCTAGGAGTCATTTGGCAAGACGGTCTTAGGAGGAGGTGCCAGGAACAAGCGCATGGAGCTCACACGTCACAAACTGAGTCAGGCGAGACGCGGACGCACAGCAAAGAGGATGGAAAGGGATGAACATTGTGTGAATGGGATCAAAACTCTGACTACTGGAGGGGCCGAAGCGTGGCAGACTGGGAGCTTGAATATCGTCGGGGTGGCATTTGCCGCAGAGGTGAGATGTCTTGGGTACGGGCGAGCTATGAACAGCGCATCAAGGTGCTCGAAAGAGCAATTCTGTTGGACCTCTTAAGGATGAAAGACGCATTCTTGTTTGGATGGGAAAGAAGCCGTCTCGCTCTCACGAAATTGCCATCTGCGTGGCCTCGGCCGGCTGTGTCTGAGCGTCACCATGATTGTCGGGTGTATGGTCAGCATCCGTGTCCTCCTCGCGCGTGTCGTGGCCGTCACTGGCATCTGTGGTACCTTCAGCGCCTTGCGTTGTCGTGTCCTGGTGTCCCTGGTGCTCGTGGCCATGAGCGGCCGAGGAAGCGGTGGCAGAGCCACTCGAAGCGCTGTTCGAGCTGGCAGAGCTGGCTTCTGGCGTACTATGAGCAGCCGTGTTGGAGTCCGAAGTGGTCGTAGTAGTCGCCGTTCCAGCACCAGGAGCGTGGGCGTCGGTATCGTTCGCATCCTCAATCTCGTCGCTACCTTCGTCCTCGTCGTCGTTTGCACCCGCCTCGGTGGCATTCTCAGTCACGTCGTCGTTGCGCTGCTCTCCTTCATTGGCATCGTCGGTATTAGCATCCGTCGTGTTCTCAGGATCTTCGCTCTGGTTGGGGGTGCTGCCTGCTTCAGGCTGCGTTCCTTGGCTTGCGTTGTCGCTGAAGTACCATACTGCATTGTCGATGCGGCCTCTGGAGCACCGGACATCCACGCCTCGTCAGCTGAAAGCTCTTCGGCAGTATACGACTCTCCACTGGCACACTCACACATTCAGAGGGGCAAACTCTCGGAACAAGGCAGGGCTGAGGTTGATGCCGGGCGCTTTCGTTTGGGAAGGAGAGTTCAGTGAGTGCACATGCTTGCGGTCGGTCAATGATGTGCTTGTCAAACTTACAAGATTTGGAATCGACGACGATACCCCATCTGGTCTTGTTGTTGATGACGATGGTAACGTTGCGCCCGCAGGCGGATTCCTGTTGAATCAAAACGTTGGGAACGCCGACCAACCACTGGTCGTCGGTCACAGCGCGGCCGGTGTTGCCGATCGTTGGCCCACTGTAACGCATCATCAAGCGGGTGTACAAAAATTGGAAACGCTTAGCATGGTGACCACAGAACACCGAGATCGCGATCACCTACCACTGCAAAGATTCTTCTCCTTCAAATTCGGCATAAGTCACCGGACCAGCGTAATTAACACCGTTATCCTGGCGTCGAAGGATTGGAGCTGCCAGGATGGCTTGGGAAGCCCAAGCTGCCAGGATGAGAAACATAAAGGTACCACGAGCGAGCATGATGGCTGGTGTTCAGATCTGGTCGGTGATAAAGAGAAGAGGTGGGTGTGTAGGGGTTGTAGGGATTTGTGCTGTGTGTCTGAGGTGGCAGGCTCGCTGATGCAGCTCCCAGGCGATGTATTTGTACCTTTTGCCTCGCAACTGAAAGCTTTGCAGATGTTCAGCAAGGACCACGAGCGTGTTCTGAAGATCGAGGTCGACCCTCATGGCCTCGACGCAAACCAGACCCCGACGTGAGTAAATTCGCTCAAGAGCAGCCAAGTCCGCACTGTAGCACAGCATTCCAATATATCGGAACAGCGCGCCAGCTTGGTAACCCACAGAGCTGGCCGGCTTGCTTGATGATCCAGAGAATATGCTCACCTTTCCTTGGCGTGGCTTGAAGTCTGGCTGCGCAGGATTGACGCTGGCTGTCATGGCCAAGACGCGGCTTCCAATCTAGTACGACGCTTGCGTCCGATGCTGTGCTCAATCACAGATGCCGTAAGAACGCCAAGCTATGCCAGTTTCATGTATTAGGAACGATCGAAATGAAGCCGCACATGAGTCGGGCCGGGCAGCGCCTTCCGCGGAGTTGTATTGCTGAGAGCGTGCAGGCACCAGTGTCAGAAGTCGTGTCGATCCTCATCGGTCCGCCGTTCCACCCTTCGCAAAGACAACGCTCCAAAGACTGTGTGCGCGCCAAGGGTCGAAACAAGGCTTTGGCAAGAGGGTCGCTGATTTGAACTAGTCGGATATAAGCGTCTGTACTGCCTCGACAGGACGCTTTGTTCTGTGTGCATGAAACGGAAATGACGTCAGCATTGAGTCCAAGAACGATCATTGGCTGGACCAAGCAAATCGTTTTCCTTGTTACGTCGGACGGCCATGGCGACGCATCTTCACAAGCCTTCTTCTAATAGACAGCTTGTCCTACCATCGACATCCTCTGCAGCGATGGCGTGCCGAAGGGAGGCGGTTCGTGAAGCACGCAGCAGGCAGGCATCATTCAGCATTCGAAGAAATGTCGTGCTGGCATTGCAGTGCATTGTGTCAGTGACCCTATTGACGGTGACCTGAGGCCTGCCCGAGTGTGAAGAACAAAT